AATTCTACATATCCGGACTGGTGCATGATACTAAAGATAGCTTTGACGTAAAGTATGGCATCAGATACAATCTCGACGAAGATGACTTCTATATCGGAGATTCTAAAGTCCAATTCGTTGACGATAATGTGCTAATAAAGGACAGCGAATATGAGGGAACGAGGGGCCTCTTTGAATTGTTGTTTAAGAAGCGTCCACTTAAAATTTACACGAGCGACGATGAAAAGAAATATGCTGACATCATTAGAAATACCAGTGCCAACAGACTGTCTTATGACTCATCGAAGCCGATATCGGGCGGAAATAGCTGGAAATATAAATATGTCATAAAGCCGATTCTTCAAAGGCACCGACATCGTGGTGGCGGCGGCAGTAAGCTAATGATGAATGTCACAGATAACGCTATCGACTACGTGTACTGGAACGATCCCAATGAACTTGTGGATCGACTTAGGCTTTTAATGGCCTCCCAAGAAGCGGGAAATTCCAATCACGTAAATGAAATGAACAGCATCATCGAGGAGCTTCTGGAAGCCAAATTAATTGCACCACGTGATTAATCGTTGATGAGTTTTGTGTAGGACAGGTGTCCAATAACCATTATTAAATTGTATTATCTATAATTTTTTATTATTAAGTATATAATCACTGTATTTATTGATTTAATAAATGAGTTTAAAATATACCAGATTTTTTATTTATTTTTAATTTTAAGGGGGAAAAGGGAAAATAAAAAGATAATAATTTTAATTATTTTATTAAATATTTATATCATACATATTACAGAGGTTAAATTTGATTTATTTTGTTTACAAGTACAGACTCGATAATATAAGAATTTTATTATCCTTTCTTGAAATCAGACTCGATATATTGCATCAACACCTATAGCTGTCCTGTGGGTGTAAGTCTAGTGGAATATGTACTGGGTGTTGGTATGATTGTTGAACTAGACCCTCTTTTTGATCGGTGATGTCGACATTACGTATCTTCCTCACAATCTCAATGCAGACGTCAAGTCTTCTTTTAAACACTGGATATTTACCAGGAATTCATTTAACCTCTTCATATATTATTTTCCGTTATTCAGCAAAATTCGAAAATTATTATTTTATAGCTTGCAGAACTGCCTTTACCCGCTGTCAGTGTTATTATTAATACTTGAGATCCAAATGTAAATGTAAAATCCATTTAAAACATACCTTTCGGTGGACACCCTGTATATGGATACTCTAATAATAGCATAAACTAACCTTTCCCAACTGATATTTATACGTAAATATTCGATTGTCGGCGTAATATTATTTTATGTGATAATAACTATATGATTAAATTTTGTTTATTTTATAGGCACGTTCCCATATGAAGCCGGAGAAATATGTTTAGTGTATTAAAAAAAATAAAACTTTTATGCATCCAAGAGAGTATCAAAGCAAACGCTAAAACAGAACAACTCATATGTATTGATTCGACACGGGATTTATTTTTTTAAATAATACTTTTGTCATGAGTAATTTCAGTCGATTTTTATCTGAAGCCTCCGCTTTTGTTTATATATTAGCATCTTATCTGGTATTAGTCATACACAGCTGTGGTCATATTCCAGGAAAGTTACATCATCATGTTGTTATCTTAAACCCACGCGCGCGCTCGTTTCTTATATTTTCTACCTTATAACAAAAAGATTTATACCAAGAGGCCGTCACCGCTGCCGCCGCCGCCCCCCGCAGCCCGCTGCCGGCTTCCAGCATCGTAGGCCGTATCCGGCCGCCCGCTGCCCCCTATGACGCAGGCATCGCGCTGCCGCCACCCGGAGCCGGCACCCCGCTGCCCCCCTCGCACGCCTGCACCCCGCTGCCCCCCGCCGCTGCTCATGCACGCACCTGGTGCCGCCTCTGACGTCACGCTCCTCGATGCCGACCTCCTGGTGGTCATTGCCGATGACGGACCCCGGCTTCTTCTTCTGCATTCCAGATCCCCCACCCCCGCACCCCACTGACACTTCTTCAGCGTGACCATGGAGCTGCTGCTGGAGACCTGGTGCTAGCTTCGGATGGCGGCAGCCCGGTGGTGACCTTGAAGTGGCTTAGAATGCCCACTGCTATACTACTAAGATATATGAAATGTTCCAGATTTATTAGACAACATATGAACGAAATTTCGGCTATTTGTAATGAGGTGTGTCTGAATATAGACAAAACAAATTTGACGCAAAGAAAGAGATCTAAAAATATACGTGACAACACTTCAGATGAAAAGCTCTCCCAAGAATCTTGGAACAAGAAGTCAAGAAAATCTAGCACTACTCATTTTAAAGGAAAATGTATCAAAGGGTTAAAAAAGCAGTTAGAAGGATCAGAAAAACATTAATATGATGCAGAAATGCAAACGGAAAACGACGCGACGGAGAGGAAGTTTTAATATTCGATGATTTCATTAGGTGTGCTTACTGTGGATTGGGAAAATTTAACCGAACCAATTTCGTGCAGTGCGACCGATGTGACGAATGGGTTTACAAAATATGCGAGTCGAACGAAGGTGATTCTTTCAGTGGCGATTTTATAAGTAAACTGTGTGCGTTCGATACAATTAAAAACGAAGAAGGGCCTACCATTGATTTGTTTCTAAAATGTAGTGCCTTCATAGAAAATATTACGCTTAACGAAACACAGAGACAAGAGGTTGAAAGATTAACCCTACTGCAATATAAGTCAACGGAATGGAAGGAAGAGAGAAAAACTAGGCTAACCGCATCAATATTTGCAAAAATATGCAAATGTAAAAAACCCACAAAGGCCTGGTTGGCAAAAACCTTAATAAATCCTCAAACTTTAAATGTACCCGCCGTTAAGCATGGACTGCAATACGAGGACGCTGTTCGGGAGAGGTATTGTGTAGAAAACAAAAAAAAAATGTAATTTGACAGGTTTACACACACATAAAGTGTATCCGTTCCTAGCCAGTTCACCTTACGGTATAGTTGATAACGATGGAATTATAGAAATTAAGTGTCCCTATCGACATAAAAATAAAAATGCTTTCCAAATTAACTTTAACTTCCTAAATACCGATGGGTCATTGAGGTTAAACAGTGACTATAACTACCAGATCCAAGGACTTTTAGCGGTTACCGAGATAGGCAGTGATGTGATTTGGTAATTTTTACATTTCAGGGAATTAGAATAGTGAGAGTAGAAAGAAATAATACATTTTGGACCAATCACATGCTGCCTAAATTAAATTCATTTTTTTATTTTAATTTTTTGCCTGAATTTATCTTTCCCGGCAATAATATATCCATGGAAGAAAGAAAATGGAGAACTACGAAGGATCTAGTTTTTCTTCCAAATGGATTGATAGACGATGTTTCGTATTATAAGAAAATGATAGATTTAAGAGGATATACCGTAGCGTATTTCGAAAATTTTGAATGTCCTGTTAAGGAAATCATCATAGATGACTTCCTAACACTGGATGACAAAGAATGGCTTTCCAGTTTTGTAGTAGATGTTTGTCTACATCTGTTTGACATCGAAAATAATTTTCAAATTTTTTCGACTGAATTAAGCAGTTACATATTTTCAATAGAAAATCTGACAAGTGACATAAAGGAAAAAATTAAGATATTTAAAAAATGTGGTATTTCTCTCGTAGAAAATAATAACCACTATGTGCTGGTACAAGATATATATTTCAACTTAAATTTACAGTTTTTACCCCCTTTGTACCCCCGGGACCCTCAGCAAGTCAATGAAATTTTACATGAGGGTAGTCTACGTCCCCACCTATAATTCTACCAACGGAAAATCGTTTCCCAAAAATGGTTTAAGAGTTGTAAATTTTTTTCCAATTAAAATTATAGTTTTTACCCCTTATTTACGCCCGGGACCCTCTGCAAGTCAATGAAATTTTACATGAGGGTAGTCTACATCCCCACCCATAATTCTACCAACGGAAAATCGTTTCCCTTTTCTGGTTCAAGAGTTGGAAATTTTTTCCATTTAAATTTACTGTTTTTACCCCTTTTTTACCCCAGGGTCTCTCTGCAAGTCAGTGAAATTTTACATGAGGGTAGCCTATGTCCCCACACATAATTCTACAAACGGAAAATCGTTTCCCGGAAATTGTTTAAAAGTTGAAAATTTTTTCCATTTAAAATTACAGTTTTTACCCTCTTTGTACTCCCGGGTCCCTCTGCAAGTCAATGAAATTTTACATGAGGGTAGCCTACGTCCGCACTCATAATTCTACCAACGGAACATCATTTCCCGGAAGTGGTTTAAATGTTGGAACTTTTTTTCGTTTAAATTTACAGTTCTTACCCTTTTTGTGGGACCCCATGCAAGTCAATGAAATTTTACATGAGGGTAGCCTACGTCCCCGCTTATGTTCTACGAACGGAAAATCATTTCCCTGAAGTCGTCTAAAAATCATAGTTTTTTTCTGTTTAAACTTACATTATTTACCCCCTTTGTACCCCTGGTCTTCAAGTCAGCAAAATTTTAAGTGAGGGTATCCTACATCCTCACCCATAGTTCTACTGTACGGAAAAACATTTCCCACAGATTTCCTTGCAAGTCCTTGAATTATTATCGGAAATAATTTTACAGAATGAAAATCATTGTAGAAAGTGAAATAACTATTATATTATGTAAATTCATAATGGATGTGATGAGCTTGCAAGCGTGATCCTCATTCCGAGCATCTATCAGTCTTATAACGTACGTCTATGACCGTTCGAGTGTTTCCGTGCAACTGGGCTGTTTCCTTGGGCCACAGCATGCTGTGCTTTGGCTGCTGTTTTCACACCGGTTGAGCAACGGAACGTGACAAAACGACAATTCCTATTTACTAATTGATGTGTTTTAGCGTTTTTGTGAAAACGCAACACAAAATAAGGTACGAATTTTTTGCGTTACTTCTGGAACGCACTGTTTAAACCAGACTAAAGCAGCAAAATGGATAAAAAGTTGTCTGAAAATTGTTTACTTGTCTCCATATCAACTAAGACTATACTCACCTAAAGACACGTTGTGGAAATTTTGTTTTTCCAAAGTAAATCCTAATTTTTCTCCTAATTCTTCTACATCCTTTAGTGGGTTAACACCAGGAGAGAGAATAAAAAATATAGGCGTCGATGGGCTAGCTTCTTGGAAGGATTTTTCAAACTCGACATTTTTATTTTCAACGTATTTTGCTCCTAATTTTTCTTCAATGAAGGCCCTGCAAGAGAGAAAATATATTTCCCGTCGTATTTTAAAAAATTAAGAATTTTCTATAAATAATAAATATATTGAATTCATTTGATTTCTTTATTTTCACACATTCTTATAGTAAAGATTTGGATTTTTTTACTATTTCTCCCAGGGTGTAGACCACTGATTGACAAATTTGTAGTATTAAAGTAATTCATTTAATTAACTAAATGATTTGTTCAAGTTTCATCGGTTTTATTTCATTATGTTTTTAATTAGCTTGGATTACTTTATGACGCAAAATCATATAGGTATAGTAAATACATTTTTTTATTTGAATGATATTACGTACATCATGGCATATATCATTCTATCTGGCCTAAGTGCCCTCATCATGCACAGCCTTTGTAGTGCTGTTTTATTCTTCCACTCTTGAGGGAATTTTTCACGTTCGGGGCATTCACATTCCACGAGTTTTTTCCATCTCTTGGTAGAATTTTCTATGTCTCTGTCTAAATTTCTGAATTCTTCCTTAGTTGCGAGACTACATATTCCTCCCCAACTTGAATTAGACAGGAAGTCAACAGGACTAGTGACATGAGGTTTTATGGGGAATCTCAGAAGAAAGTCTAAATCCGAAGGTAAAATTTCTTCATTCATCAGTAAGATCTAGAAATAAGGCACGATTTGAAAATATGGAAAAAATAACAAATCGTTTTATACGTCAACTGTTTGAACTTACTTGAAAAGTCATTTGTGATGCAAATATTAACTTGTCACATTCAAATAATCCCCTGGTTGTGTATTGGAAAACACAGAATGATATACACGATATTAAATTATTTACTCGTTCAGCAACGGTCTCGGCAGGTTCTGCCTTCGCAATTGCTTTTTGGAAAACGACGCTAAATGCCTAAAAGATGATTAAATTTAATTTATTTCATATTTATAAATACTAATTTAACATAATATTTTAGTACTTACTTTTAAAGAAAACTGATAAATAGGGTTGATTTTATTCAAATCATTTAAAATGAAATATAGCAAACTAGCTCTGGCAGCAGCGGGTCTGTAATATTCTCTTGCCTCGTCGATTTGTACTGATGTGATCTTGGCTTCCGCTACTTTTACTTGGATCTCTGCAGCAGTTCGCTTAGTGGTTTCCAAATTTTCTACAAGAGTGGTGTCTCCTAACAAGTTACCCCCAGCAGATGATAAACGGGACAACAAATCGTCCTCGAGAGATTTTAGGATTATTTTGAAATCATTTTGTTGCTTTGTCAAGTCAGCCTAAAATTTATACAGTGGAAGAGTAGAGGAGAAATAGACGTTATCAGGACAATGCTCACCCATTACCCAATGACCATATTATAGATTAATACAGGGTGTTAATGATACGTTTTGCCAAACTTTAATGGCGTAGGTATTCTACCGGTGAATATAATCAACGTTGGCCATAGAAAGATTTTTTATGATTTTTCCTGTAACTTCATTGGCAAGAAATATTTAGTGATAAAATTTGGTGGATGACATTTTTCTAGTAGGGACTATTTTTTCATGGATAACTTATTCCAAAATACACTCCAGTTGCGTAGTTATTGAGGGAGTAGAGGGACCTTTTTTGAAAAAAAAACGTACGCCACTGTTTTTTTTTAAATTTAAATGTTTTTAAAATGTACAATCAATTTGTGGCAATAATAAGTATTCGTAAAATTTACTGGTCTTTATATAATTCGGAAATCAAATAAGAAGGTGTACTTAAATACCTACGTTGTTATTTATCATTTTCTATTGATTGCAATAAATTCAATACCTACCTAATATTTTTGAGAGATTTCAAAACACTATACAACACCACTGCAATAAGTTTGTTATTTTTCGTACAACTAAAAACAGATTTTAATTAAAAAAAATATGGTACCTATTCAGTTCATTTCAACTGTTCCCCCGACTTGAATACCTTGGATTACTTTTTTGGGGCTACCTTAAAACTATGGTATATCGTACTCCAGTTCTCAATGTAGAAGTACTTCGACACCGTATTGTAGAGGATTTCGCAGCCATACACAATACGGCTGGAATTATGAGGTGTGTAAGACGATCAATGCGGTGACGCTGCGCAGCATGTATTGCATCCCAAGGGTAGCAAGGAAATTTCTTGTGATGTTTGTTGTATAGTGTTTTGAAATCTCTCAAAAATATTAGGTATTGAATATATTGTTACAGATTTAGCAATCAATAGAAAATGGTAAATAATAAGAATAATAATAATAATAATAAAGCTTTATTTTCATATGCATTAGGTACATACATAGAAGACTGGTCAAAAAAAAACACACAGGTCAAAGTTAAATATAAAAAACATCAATACACTACAATACATGTACAAATACAAAATCCTGGATGGAGAAAAAATGGAAAAAAATCGATAGAATGGAAAGATGGAGAAAAAAAGAAAACTAAAATAATACATTATAGCAACGTAGGTAGGTACTTAAGTATCTTCTTATTTGATTTCCCAATTATATAAAGACCAGTAAATTTTACGAATACTTTACAGTAATACTTTATTGCCATAAATTGATTGTACATTTTAAAAACATTTAAAATTATTTAAAAAACCAGTGGCGTACGATTTTTTTCAAAAAAAAAAGGTCCCCTACTCCCGCAATAACTACGCCACACGCCACTGTAGTGTATTTAGGAATAAGTTATCCATGAAAACATAGTCCCTACTAAAAAAATGTCATCCCCCAAATCTTATCACTCAATCTTTTATGCTAGTGAAGTTACAGGAAAAATAATATAAATATTTGAAACTTTTTACACTTAGGGAAGAGTCCTATCAAAAAATATTTTTATGGAGCAAAACTTGATTATTTTCATCGGTAGAATACGTCATTAAAGTTTGGCAAAACGTATCATTAACACTCTGTATAGGGTTTTCACCCCTTCAAATAATAATACAGTAGACAGACATGAAATATGTATACAGGGTGGCTGAGATACTTTGTATATGAATTATATGACTAATTCTAAACAAAATTGATTCTATTCACTTTTCCCAAATTTCCAATGGTTCTTGAAATATCGAGGTTTTTATTCATTTACTTTGAAATATAGAATATATTCCAAAAGTTCTAAATATAAGAATGTCTTCTGAAATATGGGACGGATGGTAGCCCTGTACAAATCGTCTCGTTTTATAGTCCAGTTGGTAGAGGTTCGGCCTGTGTCAAACCTTGATAACCCGGAAATAACTACACAGGCCTACTTTAAATGATGAGTACAGTAACAGGCTAATTTGCTGACAAAGTATTTTATCAGGAAAAAAAGTTATTGGCAATTTAATAGTGGTACGGTGACGTATAAAACTAGGGTGACGTATAAAACCTTACCAAAACTGCAAAAATGAAGATACTTGAATTTTGCAAATTGCTTCTGGATTCTGCATATTTACACTATGTGTGTATCAAATTTCAAGTGTCAGCAAAGCTTCGAACAAATTTGGCAAAGTTTCGAGTTTCAGATGCCGATGAATGTATAACACCTTATAGAACAAAAAGTTTTGCTCTCCTGATTTTGTGCTTTAGCGTCATTATTGTATATATGAAGGGCCTAGATGCAAAACCCGCCATATCCATATTAAACGATTTTGAGCAAAACACAAAAAACTGTATGCAACCTATTAAATTAGAAATTCAATGCAAATGTCATGTAATGCACTTGTAGAGACAAAATGTAATATATTTTTATTAAAATAAAAAATATGACACCAATTTATTGATAGATTTTCAGTAAAATTGTTTGGAGATAGCGGATTTTGCTAGTTACCAACAGAAAGCAATAAAAATAATTCGCAATACTTATAGCGATGGGCAAAGTTAACTTTTCCAATTTGCGAGGAAAGTTTTAGCATTATTTCCCATATCAAACAAATAAAATTTTGAAGACATTCTAATGGAAAAATTACCGGTAATGTTTACAAAATCAGAACTTTTCCATCTATATTTTCAATGAAAAAAATTATTTGCCAAGGAAGTTCTGTTTCCAATCTAGAGCAGGATTCATCCTGATAACTATCATCATGAGGTTCATCGCTACTTTCCCTTGTTGCAGATTCAATAGCATTCTTGTAAAACTCCAATGTTTTCTCCTCCATCCATTTTCCCCCATAGTGATTCTGCAGCAATTTGGCCACACTTTGTGCTTTCTTCTTATCGCTTGTTCTACCTGGGATTAATCTGTTAGGGTTAAGATTATTAATCTTCTTTCCTCTTTTAAGAATGGACTTTTCAGTTTCCATATCCAATTTATAATTAACTTCGCCTCTGACTAAAATATTATTGTTTGGCGATTTTGTAATAATAAATCGTTTAGTTGGGTTAAATTGAAAATGCCAACTACCAGGACTTTTGAAGACCCCAGAAATCGATTTTTTCCAGTTGTGAGCTAACCATTGCTCAGTCAACTTACGAACGGTAGCGTGTTTCACGGACTGCATCACATGATTTAGAATAAGTTCACTGATTGGCTGTGCGGATACGGCGGAGTTTGAAACAAAACACATGCAGGAAATGGCGGGTTTTGAATTGAACAGATATTTTTCAAACCATTTTTTTAATGGATATGGCGGCATATGAACGTTAAAAGTTTAAAATACTTATAGAATGACAACTATAGAATCTAATAGCTCACACAGTTTCATATATGAAAAATTTGGATATGGCGGGTTTTGCATCTAGACCCCTCATATATTGAACTACAGTTTTCGAAAGTTTTATCACTTTTTGTCTATAATTGACATTTTTACAGCAACTTTAAAAAATTAACGTTTTATACCGTTTTTTCAATCTCACGGCTTTGTTATTACAAATTTCGGAATTGGACCACCGCCATTTTGTAGCTATTTTTATTACGAACAAAATCATGTCCTAAGCATTTTTTCGTACAAAGTCATACCGCTGTTATTTAAAGAAAACTACTAACGATTAAATCACGATTAAATTGTTAAAAACTTTTTTCCTGATAAAATACTTTGTCAGCAAATTAGCCTGTTATTGTACTCATCATTTAAAGTATTCCTGTGTAGTTATTTCTGAGTTATCAAGGAAATGTAACTTTTTAACCTCTGCCGACTGGACTATTATTACTATGTCGACTGATATATCTGTCATTAGTGATAGATAGTAATGAAAAAATAAATGGCCTGTAAGAGAAATACTATAAGGAAATCGACGAAAGACTAAAAGCGAGTATTCATAATTGGTACCTACATACCTTCAATTCTTCAAGATCAGGGCGCTCTGCTTTAACAACCTCAGCCAACAACTGATCTTCTAATCCATCTCTAGTAACTGTAAAGTTAATCAAAGTTGCTTGCGCTTGCATTTCGGGTTTATAGTGCGGATTAGCTAATTTAGTATGAAGCAACAGTCTAAATGTTAGATTATATTCAATTTCTTTGTCTCCAATTTTTATAGCCCTGTAAAGATGAGTTAAACTTGCGAGAAATCGTTATTATTATAAAGTATTACATACTTTCCTTTCTTTATTAAGTATCTTCCAAGTAAAGTATCCAGTACTGGATCAACGCTCTCTTCAATATTTTCGATTAGAACAATAGACCCGTTTGTGATACATTTTTCTAGAACATCCAGATAACTTTTTTGGCCCAAACGTATCACTGTTAGTGTTTCGCCATATCGTTCTTTAATCCATTTTACGCCTTGTAACTAAAGAAAAATATCAAGTTATATCTAATTAATTTTCGTTTTGTTTTTGTAGTACATAAATTTGTTTATTACATTTATATTACATATTTACAATATTTACATATTTATTACATTTATATTACATATTTACATATTTACTACATAATTAATTAACATAGTTTTGTATCGAAAAGTGTACCGAAGTTGTTTTCGGACACGGTTCTGAGACACCCCAAGTTATTTTTCGGTTTTATTTAAATAAATGTGTAGTACCGCATCGCCAGCTGTATTTTTAACACCGATAAAATTAAGCAACTGCCAGCCGTCGAGAGTAGTTCAGTCTGGCACCAGCCCAGCAGTAGAGAGGTCGCCGTTTGGATTAAGTCGGGGAAGACTACCACCATTCGCAATAGAGGTTTGGGTTTGGGAGTTGAACTGAATTAGGAATTCAGTTTATATTCACTCATCACAGCAAACAGTCCAGTCCGTTACCAGCCTAGCAGTAGAGAAATCACCGTAAGTAAATTTCTTCTAAGATCTGCTGGGAGTTAAACTGAATTGGGAATTCAGTTTATATCCATCCATCGCAGCCAGCAGTCCAATCCGCTAACGCAACAGCAGAGAGATGGCCATTCGGAAAGTCCAGTCTAGGAAGATTGCGCAGCCGCCAACAAGCAAGCAGAACTGGTACAGCAAGTCGAACCAAAATTTCTGTTTTTAAACGACCAGCAGAGCTACCAAATCTGTCCAGCAACCGTTTAGCCACTGAAGTAGGTAAGTTCCGCGCACACCTTATGTCCAAGTTTCCCGAGGTATCCGGACACCTGGCGAAGTAATTATGTCACGGAGTTAGTTCCGATCCACCGCTTGACCAAAGCAGACGTACCTAGCAGAGGAAGTGAGTAAAAGGTTTTAGGTAAAGACTTGGCGACTGTCTACTTTGTCTTAAATATAACTTTCCTTTTCAGCTATCCGCCTGTACTACGTGTCGTAAAGTACATTGTGACTTCTTTCCGGTGTACTTAACCCCTTTGTATTTTTAGCGCATGGGACAGTGAGACTAGACAAGGAGCACGAACTCATACGGGAAAATTGACAAAATTTGTTCAAGAAATGGCAGAAGTTGGGGTGGCGCTAGTGTTTCATGTGTCCCAAGTGGGACACATGGAACACTAGCATAATAAATACGATTGAAGTAAGCAAATAACCAATTTTATTTTATAACTAGAAAGGCAGGCAAACTCCGCTACGCGGAGTTTGACCTTTCTCTCGGGCCTTCAGCCCTCGGACCGCGCTGCGCTGCCCAAGCACCGCTCCGCGGTGCCTTCCTCGCTGGTTAGTAGATATAATATTTTTTGAAACACCCTGTACTTTGATTTTTAAACACCCTGTATATAAAAGTATGTGGAGAATGTTTTTCAAAAAAGAGTAGGCCCCATTCGAGAAAAGAATAAGAAAAGTTTGTTCCAAACTTCCAAAAAGGCATCTGGTTAGTAAATATAAAATGTTTCATCCAAAGACTACGTTGGTAAGGCAGAAATGATAAAAAAATAAATTAAGACATCTGCTTGATAAATATACAAATTTTCATTAAAAGACTGTAGTAAATAGACAAAGCTAAAAGTGAAAAGAAATAAAACTTCCCTTAGTTCTATAGAACACCTAGTATATGGATTTTTAAAAAGCAACTTTTGCAAGAAACACCTGCTTAGTCGGGTTTTTCATAAAAATATTGCAGATTTCAGTACAAAATATAGAAAAGGAAACAACATTAAGGAAAGTTTCGTTCTATTGGTTCATTATACTCAGTATAAAAATTCAAAAAGACAACTGGTTAATAAGTATACAATTTTTCATTAAAAGACTAGTAAATAAAGACAAAGTTAAAAGTGAAAATGATAAAAATTGCCCGTTTCAGATATGGATCAATTTTATGGAACACCCAGTACATATATGGATTTTCTAAAAAGCGGCTGGCCAGTTAATATACAACTTCAAAAGATTTCATGAAAAAATTAACAAAATGAATCAGTCCATCTGTGTCAGTTTTATGAAACATCCCGTACATAAATTGCAAAAAACATTTGACACCGTGTGTAGAAATATATATTTGAAAATTTAGGTAGGTAGTGAAATGAGGAAAAATCCTAATCCGGCTGTGTCATTTTTATGAAACACTTAGTATATAAATTTGCAAAATGCCTCTGAGTTCTACTATATAAGATTTTTCATTAAAATATTGCCACAATAAATTTCTGAAATATACAGAAGCCTCTAGACCGATAATTCGCCAAAATCTCATCTAGTTAGTAAGCATAAAACATCACCAAAAGATTCAATATGTAAAACGAAAAAATGTAAAAAATGTAAGGAAAAATCTGATCCAGACCTCTGTCAATTTTATAGAATACTTTGTACATAAATTTTCAGAAAAAATTTGGAAGATAAATTCGAATTCGCTTTAATTTCGCTAAACGTTCTATATAAAATGTTTGAAATAGGCCTTAATAATAATTAATTAAAATTAGTCGTACAAATATGTATTGTTAAGAGAAATCCAATTTAATTCGCGCGATACTTGAAGTTTTGTGAACGAAGAATTAGGCCGCACCAGCTCTATCTCTCTCGCACACGTCTGTGCCATTGCCGTTTATATTGGCAAAATGACAGATGGGCGAATCCAGTAGTTTATAAGTTCTATGGTCCCGTCTGGTTTCCTAACCTAAATTACTTACGGAATACGTCAAATATCAATTAGTATTTTCCTTCCGTCGATCTATGGTTCGTTGTGATTTTCTAACCTCAATTGGAAACGTCAAATACAGCGAAATTTATTTTGAAGTTTCAATCCGACATTCTTCGTGATTTTTAGATTTTCGTCGATTTGCGTTCGCGGTTCTTTGAATCCCCATTTCGCTTATAAAATGGCCGTAAGTCAGTGAGAAGTCCACGGAGAAAAAGGTATATTTGAAAACGCGAATATAAAGTTGCAAAAATTTGATTAAGCGACGAACGAAGGGAGTGAGGCTCGATTATGCCGCTTCGGATCTCGCGGAGAAACCCAGTCCGTCCGCCAAAATGTTAGTTTTCCAGTCTGACTTGAAAGACAGCGCGTAGTGTCGTCGTTCATTGTTTAAGCTGCCGCACTTCGAATCTGCGTTAATTTCGCGAAACGTTTTAAATAAAAAGTTTGAAATAAGCCTCTGATCAGTAAACAAAAAATTTTTGGTTTAAATAAATACTTCAAATGTCGTCTAGTAAGTCCCATCTAATTTTCTAACATCAATTGGAAACGTCATTTTCGCCTAGTAGGTCCATCTGATCTTTTCACCTCGATGTCTCTATGAAATACGTCAAATATTAATTAGTAGGTCCCCACTGACTTTTTAACCTCAATTAGAAACGTCAAATATCGTCTTGTCACTCCTGTGTGATATCTTAACCTAAAATACGGAACTCGTCAAATATCAATTAGTGCGTTTCTTTTGATTTTCTAACCTCAATTAGAAACGTCAAAAATCGCGTAGTAGGTACCGTCTGATTTCCTAACCTAAAATACGAAATACGGCAAATATCAATCAGACTGTTCCTTCGAACTATGGTTCGTTGTGATTTTCTAACCTCAATTGGAAACGTCAAATATAGTGACATTTATTTAGACGTTTCAATCTGACATTCTTCGTGATTTTCAGATTTTCGTCGATTTGCGTTCAGGGCTGGTTGAATCTCTATTTGGCTTATAAAATGGCCGTATGTCAGTGAGAAGTCCACGGAGAAAGTACATTCGAAAACGCGAATATAAAGTTGCAAAAATTTCATTAAGCGACGAACGAAGAGAGATGAGGCGCGGTTATGCCGCTTCGGATCTTGCGGAGAAACCCAGTCCGCCAAAATGGTAGCTTTCCAATCTGGCTAGAGCGCGTAGTGTCGTCGTTCACAGCTGAAGTAATCAACAATTTTTGTAATGTTAAATTTGCATTTTTCTAACACAACGTCGTCTCGCAAAAGATCCACAATGAGATAAAACAGATAAATAACGACATCCCATGACTTGGAAGAGTTTTTAACCCCAACTTATTTCTATTGATTCTTACCTTTTGACGTTTGGGGAGTACCTAATACGAATGCAATATAGTAATTAACGAAGCAAATTGTACTAATACAAAGGTTGAAGGGTTTAGGTACTATGGATTGGTTTAAAATTATGCGGTTTTAGAGGGCGAGTACTTACGTTAATTCGGGGAACAGATATCGTAATCGTAGGCATGTCAAGCGGTAGAACTACCAAAATGTAAATAATAACCTAACCTAATAATAAGAAATACCTGTATATGTGGTGGCTAGCAATGTATCAAGATTAAAAAAAGGTCTAGTAAGGTAAAATAACGGTTCGCCGTGACCCTACAGACGTCTTTCGCGTTTGGCGTGGAATTATTTTGACGTATATCAAACTGACGTTTCTAACGACATTCGAATTTTCTCCGGGTGGGCGTCTTAAAGCTTCAATCTTTACGGCTTGTCTGTCGTCGAGTGGACCCCAAAAAGAGGCAAAATTAAATATGAAAACGCGAAAAGAACGTTACAAAAATGCCTCCGAACGATTAAAGATGATCGAATTGACATCTCGTGCCCAGTCGCACTCCATTCCGCGGTTTGCGGAAAATTAATTCTGTGTGGCAAAGTATACGCATTTTAACGTATTTACGGCCGCATTTCGAATCCTGCGCGTGATTTCGCGGAAAGTTCTACATAAAAGGTTTGAAAAAGGCATCCGGTCGATAAATATGAGTATTTTCCGCGCGGCTTTAAATAAATAACGTAGGTAAAATGGGTAAAATAAAAACTAAATAGAGGAAACCGACGAGGCGATCGTCAGGTTTCATCGGGAAGTAGGCGTGTCGCACTATTGCGTTTCACACAAAAATTAGGCCACGCCCCCTCGTAGGGCTCCGGGAGAACCGGATTTTAGGTAGGAAGGACCTCCACCGAAATACCCCTAAGCGACGCTTTTTCGGGGCGATCGTGCGATCAGACGGAGCTATCAGATTTTAATATATATTGATTTAGTAGATATATCGGGGTGGTATACTAACCTAAAAACTAGAAGTCAAGTAAATAATTATTACAATTTGTTTTTATAATGGTAAATAAAAAGTTTCGAAAATAATTTAAATATGGTAATAATATGTGAAGTGAATGACTGTCAATAGATTTAAAATAAAACAGTACATTTGTGATCTGCATTTTCAATCTAATGATGTCCAGCAGTTCTATATTACAACTTGACGGAATAGTGGGTTAATATTATGGCAAGAGGTCGAATAATTCGGAAGTTGGAAGCAGCTTCTTTGATTCTCAATAAGGTAGAGAAATTTTTAAATAGAAAGAATTCATAAGTGAAAATATTGTATAATTGAATGATGCATTGTTTCTTTATGTACCTTGCAGCAGCAACAACAACAAGATCATCCGGTACACCAGCAACAACAGGTGCAGCAGCTACAACAAGAGCAGCAGTTACAACAACAACAAGAACAGCAAGTAAATTAAGAGCAATTAAGTTACGATGAAATTATACTAGAAAGTGAGCATCCCGTATAATCTAATAAAAGAAAAGTTCTGTTGGCGTGTGATGAGGTCTCGACAAAGGAATGAATATGTTCAGAGCATAATATTGACAATAGCCACAAAGTATACTTTGTTTATTTCTACATATTCTTGTAATTTATATTACATGCATAAATAATTAAATTCGTATCTTTCAGATAAGTCTTGCTAGTGATATAGTTATTATTATTACTGAATAGAATAAATCATTTCCAATTAGTTGCTGTTTCTTTCCTATTAGTAAAAAACTGATTGAAATTCAGATATCGAATACAATTTAAAGAGGATATGATTGTGTAATAATCGATGCTGATCTATCTATAATGGTAATCGATTACCTACTTTTACTAAATATTTGAACATCAATTGCTTTATGAACAAAATGAAATTTTAAGAAGTAAAACATTGAAATTTTTGGTAGATAAACATTTTGTTTACAAAATATATAAATTTTACGAAAGTAGAATTAAATTTTACAGCAATTTTAAAATATTTATATATCCAGCAAACTGATCGATTTTAAACAGTTATAAAATATTTAGATTACCTATTTTTTGTGACCTTTATAATAGAGTATATTTTGTTAAAATTTTGGTATGAATTGTTTGTCATGTTGTGTTAGGCTTCTTGATATTTTGAGAGACATATCATTCTCACCTTCAAACGAAATAGTTTCAGATCTCTTCTGAAGAAGAGAGTGGTATGTCTCTCGAAGTATTAAGAAGCCTAAACCGACAACATGGTAATCAGCTTAGAAATTGTTCAGCCATAATTTATCGACGTTCAGTTACACTAATATAGTATTATTAGTTATTCAAAAAATATGGTTTATGATATACTCTCTTATATGAATTCCTTCTTTATCGTCTTTTTCGTCATGCCGATTTTGATTATTTTGATTTGGAGGCACATATGCAAGTATATTAATATTTTCTTCAAGCACTTCTGTAAGGGCCGATCAATTTTTATGTGTCCCATTAATTATTCCTATAACCTCTGGAAATCCATATTGGGCACAATATTGTTCGATTACAACTGCCTCATTACCTACCACGGCCATTCTATAATTTGTGGAGACAAGTTACTTAGCAAGTATGTAACTTTTCTGGTTATTGTACAGGGAGCTTAAGGCAATGCAAAATTTACCAGAATGATGGGTGAAATAATTATAAATAGCAAATTTTTCTTCAATTCTATTAGTTACTTCCCTGCTAACACGGAAATGTTAAAAAAAAACTCGGCCACTATATTCAGATACAGTAATTTCAAAGTAGTTCTTATTTTTTACTCTTTCTGTTCTTAGAGTAAATCTATTTCATCGTCGCTTAAAAGTTTATTTAAAATACCGAGTTTTTTTATATTCTATTTTTTATTACCACAAGTAGAAATTCCATATTAATAATAAAAGAATTACTTTTTTTTTAAAGGGAACTTCCTGTATAAAATGTGACTATTTTTTACTTACATTAAACTAAAATCGTTAACAAAGTAATTATCAAAAACATAAACCTTATTTACTTATAGGTTAATATTAACAAAATCAGTCATAAATTCTTTAAATACTAGCTTGTTTATTTCTACTAACACCAAATTCTTCTCAAAAAGCTAATATTTTTTATTATGTATTTAGTTTAATTACAGTCCGGAATGACATATTTTCATTATTTATATAGTTCAAAGTAGCTTACGTTATTTATAATTCAATCTGCCGCTTTTTTATCTCCCCTCTCTACATATGGGACATATGGAACACTAGCGCCCTCTTATTTTTGTAAGATTTTTGTTTACATGGAGTTCGGGCTCCTTGTGTAGTCTCCATGGCATGGGATATCGATCTCCCTTTTCGTTCTATGAGTTGAAACGTAGGTCGTAACTAATCACGTTTTATTTTCAGATCTGCCAGCCGCACGCTAGTCCTGTGGAACTTTGACATTATTATTGTATTTTTTATATAGAGATAGTAGCCAAGCCTATACTTTGTAATGTAGCTTTGCATTTGTCCGCTTGACCGCTTCCTTACTTCTGGTATCTAATGCACCTAGCTTGCCGTAATATCCGCTTGTCTGTTACCGTTCCGCTAACTTAACACCGTACCGTTGTTGTTTTACCGTTTCCAATAGTCATCGCCTTCGCATGACTATAGTCGGACGACACTGTCTAATCATAACTTTATACTAGCAGTTTAGGACTATGCATAATAGAGTAATATTTAATAAATGTAAATATTCAATGTTACACACTTACTTGTGGATCTATCATTAATGGCCATCGATCAGAATTCGATAATATTGTTGCGTTTTCTGTTGACATGCGGTCACTAGGCAGTCCTTCATTATGCCATTTTGCAATAATAGTATCATCTGTTAACAACGCTAATGGATCCAAATCCTCCGTAATTGGTACCGCAGGCTAAAAAAATAGGTTTAGTGTTAGTTAACTAATATAAACAGTGTTTCAGAAAACATGGGTGATTGCAGATCCCTAATCTAAAAACAAGTTTATTTTTTCATATCAACATGGGTTCGATTTCGCTCCATTCCTTAACTACAGGGTGTCAAAGTTTTAAAATAAAATATGCTTTTTCCAAAAATCTAGAATACATATTCTTAGGTATTATTATGTTGAACATGAATAACGGGACCGGACTTACTTGCAAGCTCTTGGACTTAATGAAATAAAATATTGATTCTTCGTTGAGATTTGTAATTTATAATTACACGGGTTAAATTAAATTAAATCTGAAGAAATTCTCAATTTCACCGAAAACAAGTGCCCCAAAGGAAATAAAAAAACTACTACGTCCATGTCGTTATTCCTGGATAGTGCTAAAAGTAGTTAATAATTATACAATTTTTCGACCTTAAAATGATCTTGTTCTTGAGGTGAAGTTCATATCTTATTGTAAAACTTCCCGCTCTTGTAATTTCCGAGGTCAAAAAAGGCTCCCATTTAAAATTTTGAATTTGATCTTTAAATGACCTTGAAGGCAAGGTCAAAGTCATTATCAAGGTCATATCAAGATAGCCCCATTTTCACCCTACAACTTTTGTATGAAACATTTAAAAAAAAAAGTGGTCCCAATAAGGTACTCCGTTGTCTAAAGATTCTTGTTTTTTTGTTCTTTTATGGTCAAACTATGGGTTAAATCGAAAAATAAAAATAACAAAAAGTTTTTTTTTCGTTTTCCAATCAAAATCCGTGGTAAAAGATGAGTGTTTCCATTTAAAAAATCAACATCCAGTCTAAAAACCACTTCCGGTATAAACCGGCAGTCGTAATATGGACCTTTCAATGGCCCCCTCGATGCTCTACAATTTTTGTCTGAAACTTTTTTCGAAATAATCGAGTCCAACCGAGATATTATTTTGTCAATGCCCTACCCGGTATATTTCTGCTTCCAATTAATTTTCTTAATAGCATTAATACCATAATACCAATAATTTTATACCATTTAAAATGTTTACTAAATAATATACAATTTACCTCTAACGTTTTGAAAAACGGCAACCACATCTTGTGGAGCAGATCCAAACGATATTGCTTTGTAAAGCATCCTACGTAAGAAATAAAAGCTGTCGTTAAGAGAACGTCGCCAGGCATCATTTTACCATTTTCTTTAAAACTGAAACATGAGATTAATACTGTAAATCATGGAGAAACAGAAAAAACATAGGAAAGTCTTATATCGACCCGCAGCTATTCTTTAATTTCATTTAGCGCAACCACCTCTAAAACACTTTTTGATTTAATTTAAACATAAATATGGACTGGACCTAGAAAGAGAGGTCAATCGCCCTGCGCAATGAAGATGACCTAGTGCGGGCAAAACCAGTACACCGGATACCAGTACAGAAACTGGTAAACAAACCTTAGGAGTAAAAGTCTTCATATCATTAAATTTTTGTGTGTATTGGTATATTTATTTGAATTTTTAAAGTTTAAGTTTTAAACTATGATGTAGTCGTGGTCAGCAATTAATTGCGTTAAAAGACAAATAAGTGGGGAAAACAATAGTTTCTTACGTAGGAGAAGTTATAATGAGTTTTGCAAGTAAGAAAATATTGTCTCGCCCGCGCGACTTCGTGTGCATGCCTGATAGTCGCTGAGGCGCCGGGGGACTCTCCGGTGCTACTAACCGGGTTTACTACTAAGTCTCCGTCAGTTGAACACCTCAATTCCAGTTGAGGTCGTTCTCTAGTCAAATCTGGCCGAGAACTGTCAATGTTGCTTCCAGGTTGTCCATCCGACTGACTGAAAACGCCTTCTAGTGATTCTGTAGAAGTGAGAGACTCCTGGAGTCTCTCTTCCTCTACATCCGTTGGGCGGGGCGCACAAGCGTCTGCGTATTCCCTTGAGGTCATAATATAATGCACAATTGAATCTTAGAATTGAGTCTTAGAATTCGGGTAAACTGTATCACCCTGTATATAACTTTTACCTAACGAGATTATTGCTTTACGACTTACTGTTTATTTCGTCTATAGTTCTATGCATGCACTGCTTACAAATCCCTAGCTCTATTAAAAGTCTTTCTTCGCTAACTATTACTATCGTACTATTAGTTTCTTGACAAAACCCACTACTATTAGGAACCACTGATGATGGTATAAGTTCAGAATTGACAGGCTTTCTCCCAGGAAAAGACACAAATCTTCACAAGATGTATATTACAGGTAAGTACACAATGTCTTAATACTTGTTTGCGAGAGGGCTCGTGGTCAAGTAAGTTTTTACACCCGGTATCGCGCGATAGAGTCTCTTGGTCATTAGTTTCGATTTCCACACGATGCAGTTCACGATCTGCAACTAATTCCCGCTCTTCTTTTACGCTTTCTTCCCAATTAATTGCAAAAAACGCAGTGTGACAACCAAAATTCGACAACTCTACTCTCCGCTGTCAATGCTGTCATCTGCTGTTGATCACCTCGGGTTCTCGATTTTTTTTAATATTTACCGTCCTATATTTGCAATAACTCGCGATCGATCCTGGTCCGCGACAATATGAACTAATTAAAACGTTACCCCAGAAGATCTTGCAGTAATTTTAGTTGATAACTAGTCCAGTCGGATTAGACAAAAAAGGGCTTAACCGGGAAAAAAATTAGGGACCCTGCATCAGCCGCCATCTTGAATTTAAGGAAAGATCGTTTTTGTTCAATATCTCGGCCATTTTCAACTTTACAACAAAAATGGCTAGGACTTAAGTTGTTGCAAATGCGATTTCCTACAACTTTTTTTACAAATTTTATCGTGCGATCGATATTTTTCAAGTTAAGGGGGAAAATAGTGACAAAGTATAATTATTGAATTATCTCCTTTGTTATTGACTTTACGACATAAATGTACATGAGCAAAGTTGGAAAGAATTATATTTTCTACAATTTTGATCTCTTTGATTTTTTCGCTATAACCAATATTTAAGGTCCTAGCTTGCGGTAAAGACGCGAGCGTAGGACCTTGCGGGAGTTGGTTTCAAAGGAATTGTTTTTGCTCAATATCTCGGCCATTTTCAACTTTACAACAAAAATGGTAAGGACTTAAGTTGTTGCAAATGCGATTTTCTACAACTTCTTTAATTACAAATTTTATCGTGCGATAGATATTTTTCAAGTTAAGGGGGAAAATAGTGACAAAGTATAATTATTGAATTATCTCGTTTGTTATTGACTTTATGACATAAATGTACATAAACAAATATGGAAAGAATTATATTTTCTACAATTTTGATCTCTTTGATTTTTTCGCTACTACCAACATTTAAGGTCCTACGCCTATGGCAAGCCTAACTAAACTCAAGGGATCAACATTCCATGAGCAAGACGTCACCGGCAGCTGGCCATTACCAAGAATGGTCCAAACTTTATAAGAAAAAATAAATTTTAAAAAAACATGGCTTACACCTTTAACGCTTGCAAGAAACTTTTATAAAGAGGAAGACGGCTGAAGTCACAACTATCTTGCGTAAAAAAAACGCGCTTGAAACTCTACCCCGGTGGTGGTGTGGAAAAGAGTTTGCAAAAACAATTTTCATATTGCTCTGCGCCTTTACCGCAAGCGTATTTTCCCCCTTAACTTGAAAAATATCGATCGCACGATAAAATTTGTAAAAAAAGAAGTTGTAGGAAATCGCATTTGCAACAACTTAAGTCCTTACCATTTTTGTTGTAAAGTTGAAAATGGCCGATATTGAACAATAACGATTTTTCCTTAAATTCAAGATAGCGGCTGATGCAGGGGTGGAATTCAGTCGCGATTCTAAATTTACATTACTATTGACCCGCCTCCCCTTCACTAAAGGTTAGAACAATAAAATTGTGGTCCTTAATTTTTTCCCGGTTAAATGACAACCCGACTGGGCTAAAAAGAAAGTAAATGAAGAAATGTCTAGAAGAGGACATTATAAAAACTATGTGGAACGTTACAGCTAAAGCAATTAACACTAAACTTGTTGAAGTGTTCAATTCTGTGTCTGTTTTGGATTTCGACACAATATGTTTCAATGAAACGTGGTTATATGATGATGTCAGTGTTGAAGAAGTTTTCCCTGGTTCCTATTTACTAATCCGGAAGGATAGAAATTTCATTTCAACCGGACTTACCAAGAGTTGAGGTGTGTTAGTATGTGTAAAAAATACATTTAAAGTTATTCGATGCTACAAATGATGTCCATTCTATTGATATTGTAGGATGCAAGTTTGCACCTTATGCATGCGGAGTTCACAGAACTTCGATAGTGGTGTACTAGCTTCTGCAATGTACACCATTGTAGTTTTCAAAAATATGTTGTCAAAAGTTTTTTGGAAATGGCGTCGGCGAAAAACAAAAAAAAACGAATTAATACAAAAAATATTGACATAAAATTATTAATAAATATATGTATATTAGTAATTTTATTATTTGGAAAGGTTTTTTTAAATGTGCTGTACCTAATTCTTGATGTTAGACGTGTAGTTTTACTCAGAATTAATAGATATCTACAAATGAAGCGTCTCTATATTATTTTTATAAAGTTTTTGTTGATCACAAACTCGTCATCTGTCCAATATTTCGAATATCTATGTACGTTTCATTTGGATTAGCAAATAACATTTTTTTTTATAGAAATAATAGTGTCTTCCATTCAACAGTTACTTATTGCTTTACGATTTTAGGTCAGTACTGGTCATCATGCTATCATAGCAATCTTTTCTGTAATGGATATATCTATAGTATCCATAGTAATGATAAGAGTGTCTACTATAATTGCAAGGTTATATCCAAAATATATGAAGATGCTAATACCAGAAGATATTATTTCTACTCAAAATAAGTTTTATAGAATTGCACCCTTTCCTAGAATATTGGGCATCATGGATGGTATTCATGTGAAAATTACTAGGAGATTACTTACTTTTCCACAGCTTTAGCCCAACGAATATTTTCACTTGCAAGTCCACCCACAAGACGATTTGCTAATTGGATAATAGCACTGGTAGCATCTGCTTCCTGTTGACATAGTAACTTTTCACTTGTTGCTTTTTCGAAATCTGCCGTTAACTTTGCTAGTTGCTCTTCTAATGACTAAAATATAGTAAATCAGTTGGAGAAGGTTTTTGTATATAACATATTAAATAGTATTTACGCAGTGTGACTTATTAAGACCAGGGACATGTTTGAGACAAGTTTCGAATGGCCAAAAACCAAAATATGGTGACTAAACTTAACATACCTTAAACAAATGTTGCAGGTTTGCGAGGTAAAGTTGAAATTTTAATTTGAAACTTTCCAATGATATTGGAATTTTTTGCAGTCACCTCAAAAATTGGTAACTTTACGGTTTTGTGGCATAAGAATTACGAATTTCAAGCTGAATTTTGGATTATCTGTACGGGGCGTTAATTACACCCTGTTACTTTAGTAAATACATATTTTTTGTCTAATGAACTACGGCTAAAGTGAGTAAAAAATTTCAAAGGCAGTTCAATTTTATATAGCATCTAACTGTATCGGTTTTTGAGTTATTTGCATTTTAACCATTCAATGTAAAATCGCCTTAGCCACCGCTATTGCTTTGACTTTTTTCGAGTAGAGTTCTCTTAGCACATATAGTTCAATTTAATAAAAAGTCTCTAGTAATTTTCCGAATAATTGCTAAAACAATACTTTACACTCATCTGTTAGCTAAGAATTTCATGTGTAATAAAGTAAACACAAAAACTCACATAAGTAAATACTTGAGCGTGAGGGAAGTAAAAACATATAAAAAACAAGAGAATACTAATAATTAAAAAAAAAAACAATTTAAAACGATTCTTGATAGATTTTTTATTTTTATTTATTTATTTATTTATTTTTGTTTTGAGACAATTACAAATTGAATAACAATAGTCACTTATGCGTATAACAGATATTTAAAGTAAAAACAAATGTAACTTAAGGAGGTTTATCTGATTTAGAATTGACGAACAAATATTCATAAAAAAATTAATATTAGCTTATTAATATGAAGATAATCCTCAAAAAAAAGTATGACTAGTTTGGAAACCTAAGAGACGAGATATTAATAAATTATTTTTTCACGATTTAGTACAGAGTCTTATAAGAATGTAGATTTTTTTAGTCTTTCCACTTAGAATGCGCAACAATTGACGAACAGTTTTCACAGCAACTTGTATAAATAGGTAACCGATATCTAAGGAACCATATGACAGCTCGTAGAAATCGATTAGGTACTTGTAAGATACATAATTGAATCCTAGATAAATATAAAAGGTATAAAAATACATTAACAAATTTACTTAAAAAACTAAAACAGGATACTACAGAACAAAAATAGATCAAAATAAAAAAGATAGTAAAAGTCTTTGGAATACGGTAAAAATCAAATGAAATAAAAGAGATTAATGTTAATAATAAGCTTGTAACTGACAAAAATGAAATAGCAAATTTGTTTAATGAATACTACAGTCAAGTGGGAAATAAACTTTACGACAAAATTGAACAGGCAGCGGTTTCAGTTGTGAAAAAAGTAAATTCAAATCATTCAATGTTCTTCAAACCAACGGATGAAACGGAAATATTAAATATTATTAATGAGCTCAAACTAAAAAAATCCCCAGGTTTAGATAACATTACGGCAGAAATATTAAAATTGGAATTTTATTAAAAAGCCTTTAGCGTATATAATCAATATAATTTTAGAAACAGGTGATTTTCCTAGTGCGTTTAAAAAAGCTGTTATAAAACCATTGTTTAAAAAGGGTAATCAGGATAATATTTCAAATTATAGACGTATATCTCTTATTTCATCATTAAGTAAAATTGTGGAGTTATTAAAACAAGAATTCTTTCATATTTAGAAAAACATAACTTTTTATCAAAGAAACAATTCGGCTTTAAAGAAAAAATGTTAACGGATGATGCAATTGTCTATTTGACGAATGGTATATATAAGGCATTTGATAAGAACAAAACTGTTTTAGCAGTATTTCTTGACCTAGCGAAGGCTTTCGACACCGTCAGTCATAGAAAACCGATAGAAACGGTCGAGGATCTTGGTTTTAGGGGTGTAGCTTTACGGCTTATTAAAAACTATTTGGTAAATAGAGAACAGTTTGTTAAAGTTGATACAGACATAAGCGAGCCTAAAATAGTAGAATTTGGAGTAATACAGGGCACGGTCCTGGGCCCAATACTTTTTTCTATATATATTAATGGTTTATTTACCCTCAATACTTAGGGAAACATATCCTCTTTCGCAGAGGATACAGTGATAGTCTACACAGGAAGCACATGGCAAGAGATTCAAAATGTTATTAAAAATGATCTGAAAAAGATTAAAACATGGTTTGATGAAATGTATCTTACAATTAACTTTGAAAAAAACGAAGTACCTACCGTTTATCTGCAAAAATAATAGTAGCAAATACGTCTTGGAAGATGATATAAAAATTTAAATGGGAGAAAAAGAATTTACAATAAGTAAAGCAGAAAACATAACTTACCTAGGTATAGAAATTGGCAAGCATCTTAGATGGAATGTTCATGTAAATAAAGTAGTAAAAAGATTACGGTCCATACTTTTTATTTTTAAACGACTAAAAAGTTTATTGCATTTGAATGAGTTAAAAATAATATATCACTCCTTAGTTGAATCGCATATTCAGTATGAAATAGCAGGGGTGGAATTTATAACTGTTACATAAAACAACTAGAAATAGTACAAAAACATTTCATCAAAATTATCTACAACAAACCTAGAGTATACTCTACTGAGGAGTTATACAAATAATCTAACATATTTGATATTAAACAGTTATACTCTTATAGGGTTTTGTGTCTCCAGCATAAAAATAAATATAATTTAACTTTCATAGGACATATACATGATACGCGACATAGAGAAGCGAAGGAGATAAAAGTAGCTAAAGCAAAAAAAAAAACAATTGGCCAGAGGTCGTACTATTTTATTGCACCTCGTATATATTCAAATCTTCCTAGTTCTGTAAGAAACATACGAAATAATAAATTATTTAAAAACAAAGTAAAAGTATGGATTCAAAGTATGCCTAGAACTTCTATTCATAATCTTATTGATCTAAAAAATTGTTAAGTAGGTAGCTAATAATAATAAAAAAGTATGCATGTGTATATTTTATCCTTTATACTGCTTTCATTTTCAACTCATTTTTTTTCATTATGTAATTTTTCATTGTCAAATCTTTTTCTTTTTTTTTCATTATATAAATATAGATATACATTACTGTATACATTACGTGTCAATACTAGCAGATATTCCCCAAAACAAGTCTTTGACTTCATGGGGTTTCAATTTGTTTCCGAAAGGGAAATTGTATTATGGTATGTTAGTTGTAAGTTACTCGTGAACTTATTTTATACTAATTATTTGTTCGTATACATTGTCATATTGATAGTAAATTGCAGAAAATGTTTACTTGAAGGAAATTTATTATTTTATTATTATTATTATTATTATTATTATTATTATTATTATTATTATTAT